GACAGGATGGGTTTTAAAGATGGCGGTGGTGCTATTAGCTAGGGAAGGAAGAAGCTCAGCTGTGCAGGTGTGGCTCACATAACACCTGTCTAACACCTGTAGCTTAACCACGATTACCTACCACTACTTCCTTTACTACCACCATCACTACTACTACTACCACTACCACTACTACTACTACTACGTCAGATCATGTGAGGAAGTGATATGGGTAAGGTGGTCTTGATAAATAAGCTCAGTGGTTGTCCCTCCTCTTCTTCTTCCACCTCTTCCTCCACAACCTTCTCCTCCTCTTTCTCATCCACCTCCTCTTCCACCACCCCTCCTCCTCTCCTCTTCCTCTTCCTCTCTCCCCCTCCTCCTCCACGTGTAGGAGTGAGTGAGTCTGTGTGTTGACAAATGTATGGTGACAATAACCTTGACCTATCTATCCCTGTGTCACGCCTCCCACACCATACAGTCATGGCTCGTGTGTGTGTGTGTGTGTGGACGGTTGATATTGCAGTCATCTCTCAACACCATACAGTCATGGCTCGTGTGTGTGTGTGTGTGTGTGTGTGTGTGTGTGTGTGTGACGGATGATATTGCAGTCATCTCCCAACACCATACAGTCAGCGGCTCGTGTGTGTGTGTGTGTGTGTGTGTGTGTGTGTGTGTGTGTGTGGACGGATGATATTGCAGTCATCTCCCAACACCATACAGTCATGCCTCGTGTGTGTATATGTGTACGTCTGTGTGTGTGTGTATATGTTGACGGACGATAATGCAATCATCTCCTACTGTGTGTTTGTCTGTCTCTCTCTAGCCCTTAGGAAACACCCAAGGACCACGAATACTTCCCTTAGGAACACCAGACTCAAATTACAATGTACTGTACCCTCACACTACACCCAGGTGCTAATCTATCTACCTGTGTCTACCTGTATCTACCTGAACTTAACAATAAACTAACACTTAACCAGATTTTACCACTGAATAACATACCATTATTTTTATTCTATCTACCTGAATATACGTGTATCAACCAGTATCTACCTGTATCTACCAGTATCTACCTGAATATACCTGTATCAACCAGTATCTACCTGTATCTACCTGAATATACCTGTATCAACCAGTATCTACCAGTATCTACCTGAATATACCTGTATCTACCTGTATCTACCTGAATACACCTGTATCAACCAGTATCTACCTGTATCTACCAGTATCTACCTGAATATACCTGTATCAACCAGTATCTACCTGAATATACCTGTATCAACCAGTATCTACCAGTATCTACCTGAATACACCTGTATCAACCAGTATCTACCTGTATCTACCTGAATACACCTGTATCAACCAGTATCTACCTGTATCTACCAGTATCTACCTGAATATACCTGTATCAACCAGTATCTACCTGTATCAACCAGTTTATACCTGTATCTACCTGTATTAACCAGTATCTACCAGTATCTACCTGAATATACCTGTATTAACCAGTATCTACCAGTATCTACCTGAATATACCTGTATTAACCAGTATCTACCTGTATCTACCTGAAATTAACACTAAACTAACACCAAACCAGATTTTAACACTGAACAACGTACCATCCTTTCCTTGTTGACTTTATTAACTAATTGTCATCACCACAAACGTTTATCCCGTCATCAATCAATAGAATAAATTACCATAACAATGTATAATAATAATAGATAACATAATTATCATCAATTAGTATATTTTGATCATTATATGGAGACTTATGGTTCGCTGTTTATAATGCGACAAACACGAGTACTATTTTATATCATATAATAAAACGGTTCCTATAATCGGCTTTGCTGTGCATAATTATACCACTGTTGATGTTATAGGGTATATAATTGGGTAATAGGTGATTTGGTAGTTAAGGTGTGTTTTTTTGTGACATAATGCAGTTTGTGGTTTTGGGTTTACGATATACATACATACATGCATACATACACTCACTGTATATGAATAACATTGGTACAAATACACTGTATACCACACACTGTACATGGACAACAACACAGACACACAGACACACACAGACAGACAGACACACACACACACACACACACACACACACACACAGACACACACATAATACAGACAGACACAGACACACACACACAGACACATACAGACAGACACACACAGACACACACACACACACACAGACACACAGACACACACAGACAGACAGACACACACACACACACACACACACACACACACACACACGTCTCTATCTCATACCATATTTTCTCTCTCTTGTTGGGTGAATCAAGAGACTGAGAGACATCAAAGCAAAAGGGAAAGATGACAGTAGAGGAGAGGACAGTAACACAGAAAGTACCTTGACAACACGTGGGTAGAAAGTGATCAGGAGAGTGCCAAGACAAGCAGAAATATCCATACGTACTATTATATATATGTGAGGGTAGAAAATGACCAGGAAAGTACCTAAATTATACACACGTACTACAGATGTTCATATCCTCACCTTTCATTGGATATTCTTGTGTTTGTGTAGAGATGTCCGTGTGTGTGTGTGTGTGTGTGTGTGTGGCAGAGGAAGCGACGGAGCAGTTTGTGTAGGTATGATAACACATTATTATCTACAAAAGTGTTTTTCCTTTCTACAGGATATCCTACAACGGCGGCAGAGGATGCTTTACTAACTGTGAACGCCGAGAGAGGATAACTGTGCGTGTGTGTGTGTGGTTATGTTACGTACAAGAATAAGATAACTGTGTGTGTGTGTGTGCGGTTATGTTACGTACAAGAATAAGATAACTGTGTGTGTGTGTGCGGTTATGTTACGTACAAGAATAAGTTATGTTACGTACAAGAATAAGATAACTGTGTGTGTGTGTGCGGGTTATGTTACGTACAAGAATAAGATAACTGTGTGTGTGTGTGTGCGGTTATGTTACGTACAAGAATAAGATAACTGTGTGTGTGTGTGTGTGTGCGTGGTTATGTTACGTACAAGAATAAGATAACTGTGTGTGTGTGTGTGCGTGGTTATGTTACGTACAAGAATAAGATAACTGTATGTGTGTGTGCGTGGTTATGTTACGTACAAGAATAAGATAACTGTGTGTGTGTGTGCGTGGTTATGTTACGTACAAGAATAAGATAACTGTGTGTGTGTGTGTGCGTGGTTATGTTACGTACAAGAATAAGATAACTGTGTGTGTGTGTGCGTGGATATGTTACGTACAAGAATAAGATAACTGTGTGTGTGTGTGTGTGGACATTTGGCTCGGTGCCGCCTTACGTTGGCTCTTCTTGGACGAGTGCCACGTAAACCTAACCTAACCTAACCCAATAAGTATTTTTTCTCGCCTGGTACAAATGGTCGGTAGTGGTAGTAGTAGTGAGTAGTGGTGGTGGTAGTAGTAGTAGTAGTAGTATTGGTGGTAGTAGTAGTAGTGGTGAGTTTTTGTAGTAGTGGGTGTTAGTTGTATTTAGTGGTAGTGATAGTAGTAGTGGGTGGTGGTAGTAGTAATAGTGGTAGTGATGGATGCTGGTGATAGTGGTAATGACAGTAGTAGGTGGAGGAGGGGAGGGGGTTGGTTTAGACGTGAGCAGCCGTGACACCATCAAAGGAGTTAGTTCTCAACGCTACCTGGGCCACCAATCTTTACCCAGGTGTTGGTTCATTGTCACTTGTTTGGCCCGTGGCGAGTCCTCCCTCCTACACGTCTACCTGCAAATGTAAACAAGAGATTTAAACAGTAGAATTAGACAATAGATTTAAACAATAGAATTTAACAAGAGATTTTAACCATAGATTTAACAGTATTATAGCTTCGTGTATTTGGTCATTATTATTATTATTATTATCATAACAGTCTTCAGTAGGAACAAGACAGTCAACAGTCAGCTGTTCCACTTTTACCTCACCAGCACGCACCATTTCCTTGCCAGTCATTGCCTTAGTCACAGTCAGGTCCTCACACGTGTTCCTTGGGCATTTGTATGTAACTGTATATTTTCAGCCTTCTGGCTGCCAAGCTCTTTCAATAAACCGTTAATTATTATTATTACATGTGTTCACAGTTGCCAGTCAGCTGCCACCAGTCACATCTTTTAATGACAGTCAGTTTTTATTTGACTGTATTAGTAGATTATCCATGGGTGAGTGGTAGTAACTGGTGGTATATTAAGGGCGTTGTTCTCGGGTTCACAGTCACTCTCCAGTCATTCAGTTAATCACAGTCAGTTCCTGTATGAGTGTATCGCTATACTAAATCGCCTCACGTGTGTTGGTTGGTGACGGGGGGGGGGGGTGCTTACTGGAGGAAGAAGAAGAGGAGGAAGAAGGAGGAGGAGGAAGAAGGAAAAGAGGAGGACCGCGGTAGACAAGTGCAGCACCAAACATCATTTCCAGAGACTATACCACTGGGCCCCTGTCAAGCAACTCCCTACCGCCTCCACTATCACACGCTGAGACACCAACCAAGATTATTATTATTATCTCTTAATTTCTCTCTAATTCATCCCCTTTTATTGATATTTCTTACTGTTTATCTTTTATTATCACATCAAGATGAATTAGTGTGTGTATAAAAAAATGTATAAGTGATATCGTGTATAAAAAAATATAATTTGTAATGTATGTGGGAAGGACGCGCTCAGCAGTAGTTACAGGGTTAGCGGCATGGAATTGTTATGCCAAATTGTGCGTGTTAATTTTGTTTCTCTATTGTTTAACTGTTGGGATGTGGTCATGGTGTTTTTATTTGGTCTATTAACACGTGATTTGTAGCTGTGGATTGTGTTTTAAGAGCCACAAGGAGAGGAGTTTGAAAATACGGCCACAACGAGAGAGACAACAACACGACTAACTAGCATCCCACGTGCGCACCCCCACCACTCCCCCCCAGGTAAGGTTCTCGACCAATGAGAGCGTAGCGTTAGCGGGTCGTCATGGCAACCTACCCCCCCTCATCTCCCGGCGTCCCTCCTCTTCCCCTGGCCTCGGACCCCCTCCCCCGCTCCCGAGTCGACTTGGCTACAGTACAGTGTTCAACATGTACGCTAAGGGGAAGGGCTCGTCCGTGCCCTCCGATGCGCAAGCCAGGGAGAAGTAAGTGAAACGTACACAATGCAGGAGGATTATGTGGTGTTGTGGCACTCAGTTGGAGAGTGTTCGTGGCCACCAATCTGCCAAGGATAAAATTACGATAATGGTGTGTTTTTACGACGTACGAACAAGCGGTTTGGTGGTGTAGCAGGACGAGTGATAGTAGCTGTTCCAGTAAGCGGTCATCCTCCCCTGGTATTCACAGATATTAGCTGTGTTTTTCCCGTTGTGACTCAAGTGAGGATGACTTACTGCACGTAATAGTGACCCGTGGAAGAAATAATAATAGCAGGAGACTGTGTAGGGGACATGCCGCGTGGCCCCACCATTGTCGGGGGAGCAGTGACGGAGAGGGCGACGCTTGCCGCTTGTCTTTTGGCGGGAGGTTTAAACCTACACGACAAAGCGCACGAGATATTGTGATGCCGAGGTGGCGGTGTCACTCTCACCTCCAGTAGTAATATAACCACGTAAATATAGGTTTGGGTTACCTCCTCAGACGTGGTAGTTGTGTGGGGGTGGCGGTAGGTAAATATGGAGGAGGTGGGGGTCGACAGATGAAGCTCCACTCTACCGTAGCTCTTCACTGCTTTTATTTTCTCAACACAGCCAGACTCCCTTCTCTACACCGTTGATTTATATAATTATGGTTTTAGTCTCTTCCAACATTACCGAAATTACCTTTTTTTTCGTGGTGGAATGTCATTTAACTGTCAGCTGAGGCGAGTGTGGGAACCTAGTCAGCCACCAAAAAAACAATGAACAGTGAACTATGATAACACGAATATAATTGAAAGGACGTATTTAACTCCCACTGAAGAGTATTAACAACAGATCCGGTGTGGTGGTGGTGTGTGAGAGTTGGTTTGTTGGTTTGTTTTTGACTTACCACCACAAATCACCAATTACACACCTACTAATTTTTTTTAATTTTTTTTGTTGTAAATATAAGTCTCTATATAAAGTATACATAAAGGTTGTATTGAGTTTGAAGATGAAGTGTTCTTGATGTATTTTCCGCACTGTGTATTAACTCTTATATTCTCTTCTAGATTGGCGTTATATGTGTACGAATATTTACTACACGTTGGTGCCCAGAAAGCTGCACAGACCTTCCTTTCTGAGGTAAGTACCATCTTGACTACTTGCTTTGAGGGGCCGAGAGGATGGCTGGGGGGTGGCTCAGTGCCTCATTACCTCATAAAAACATTAAAATTTATTCCTTCTCGCTATACAAGGGTCGATTGTATTAATTATTGGAATTTGTTTGTATTTGAAAAAGTTTGAAACCTCAGAATTTAAGACACTAAATGCTCGTTCAAGAGACCCATTAGTTAACGAAGCTGTTTGATGTCAAAATCTGGTGGTGTTTCCTCGTGAACTCATTTAAGATCCATTATTTTAATTATCTTTAGGTTGTGTTACACTGGGAGACTGTTCTTTAGGTTGTGTGTGGGTTGTCTTGTTCGTTTGGAAATTACCGAGCTAGTGTTGAAGACATCAATCAGTCATTAATTGGTGAATCCATTTTGAGGTAGATCCTTCCATGTTACAGCCCCCCCCCCCGCCGGCCAGCCTGTACCTCGCTATTGTGTTCTTTTTGCCCCCCAACTACAGGTCGTATTAATGGATTACAGCAAGTTATACAACATGAAGAACGAAGCCTAGCAAGACCTTAGTGTGTGTGATTGTGTTTAACTCACAAACCAAAATGGCAAAAAAATAATACAGATATAGAATGGTGTTGAAAAGCCTGAATATTCCAGCAGTGTTATTAAAGAGTGTTGAAATGAAAATGGTGATGCAGATACTGTGTAACAATATAGTGAAGGTGTATAGTGGTGCAGTGCTTAGTGTAAAGTAACCCATGGTGAGCCAGTGTTAGTGTTGGATAAACGTGTAGTGATGTGTTGCTCGCCGGCTGCTGCCATGACTCTACTCCCTTACCAGGATCTTGTTAAATGGAACCACTGACAGTGAAGTGACACTCAGGATTCAGTGCCAACGTGAACCATCGGTGCCAGACTAGCCGACGCGAGCACCTCAGGACATACGGGTGCGCAAGTGTCGTTTTACACAGGTGTTAGCCAGATTACAGATGTTACCATGTACAACGATGTTCATCTCGTGTGTGGGGGGGGGGGTTGACTAAAGTTAATACAGGGTGTGGTGGCGACACAAGGTGTGGAGTGGGGTCAAGTGTCGCTGCTGCGGTCACCTGGGCCGACCTAACCTCACTTCCATTGTCTCAACCCATGCCCTACTTTTTATATACATGTCACTCTTCACCTCAACGTGTCACTTTTACTTCACAAATTGTTTTTAATGTTTATTTCGTGAGTTTATGATGATTGCGTGTGATAATGTGGAGAAGAGAATAATGAATCCCACACTTTGTGAATTAGTGTTATTGTCTTGTCTGCCGTAGCGAAGTAGATGATCATCTCGGCGGCGTTGCCACACCGAAGTGTCGGGCGCGGTGTTGCCATATATACTGTATGATGACGCCATACACTATGCATGATGACTTTTCAAGGAGGCGTCGTCCTCACCTTCCCTACACGGGTGTTGGGGCAACATTGGTGGCAGGTTATGGGTGTGTGAGGCTCTCTCCCCTACCTTACAATAACACGGCCCTCACCTCTCGTCACACAGTGGGACCACAGCTCTCACCACCACCACCAATAATGTTGCACCAATCACGAGGGACAAGTGAACACTGCTCTTCAGTAGGTCTAACACACACTTGCTTCACCCCTGACGCAGTGAAACAACGGCACTTTACAAGATACTAAACCTCATTATTCCCATCATTTACATTACAATCGTTCTTACCGACGTACAACAAATTCACTGGAGAGACGCAGCCTATGAGTTTGTTTCAGGGTTTTAAACAATTATTTACGTTAATATTAATAATCATAAAGTAAATGTTTAAAAGTATCAGAAATCACAAAAATTCCAGTACTTTCAAATATGAGTGATGTTTGTTAGGTAAGGGAGGCGGTGGGTTCAGAGCTGACCCTCTTCATGACCCCGCCAGGAGAATAAGCTGACCTCGCATGCTGCAACACGGAGGTGAGGAGGGGGGGGGTCAGGTGGGGTGGAGTGAGTGTTGGGGGGGATTATACTCCGCCTTGATAATTTCTCTACTGTCGCATTATTCTGTTATGTTTGTTTGTCTTATTTATCTTCCGTGTTGATTTGCACGATGAATCAACTGGTTGGCGACAGAGCGCGTAGGTCTGGCTGGGTTACTGCAGTGTCGCTCTAACGGGACCCGCTCACTTCTTATATAGTTCCTCAAGATTAGCATATTGTGTAGTGTGTACTGGGTCACACTGCGGTTACATGCCATGCTAGGCGTACAGTTCCCCAGGTGAAAAAAAAACGATTTTTTTTGCCGGTTACGGTCGGGGTAGATTCTTCAAATATTTTTTTATTTCCCGAATTGGTGCAGAAACTGGCGAGGTTTATCATTCGCTCTCTCCTGTAGTTACTGCGCATGGCGGTACAGCGGCGCTACTCCCTTCATTTATGGCCTTATTTTCAATGATATTCTTGGTGAATATCAATTGTTCATGTAAGCGTTTGGGTTAGGAGCCGCGGAGCTAAGAGAAGAATGTTGTAGTTTATGTGTAACGTCTGCCGTCCCCCACTCCACGCCCCGCTCTCGTCCCCAGCCCTTGTGTGGCCTCCAACCCCGCTACAGCGACACACCCTCACCCAGGCCTCCACGCTCTCACAAACCTCCTAACACACACTCACATCGCTAACTTATCATTGTGACCCCATCAATCTGCTAGTCCACTTATCGCTAACTTAAATAACTCGAATTCGCGAAAACAATCCGATGGGAAATGTACATCATTAGCTTGACTGGGAATTTAATTTGGCGGGAGAAATTATTTTACGGAGTTAAATATTAACACGAGCTGTATACATCGCGAAATTTAACCCAAACTCATATTAGCTTTTAAGGTTGAGAGAAAAATTGGCGTTTTGATATTATATACAACTGGTGGGGTTTAGATGAGGTAGGTACGGGATTTATAGGTTATTCCGCCATCGCTAACTTTAGTTCCGCGTGGTGTAGTGAGCTGCAGTGCACAAGAAAGGTGTGTGGCTGCCGGGAGACGGGCTGGGGAGGAGACCTAATGTTTTCTCTCCGCGTTGGGGATATGACGTTTGAAAGATTCGAAATTATTTAGTCGAATAATATTTGCTTGTTTGATTAATCGTCGAAAGCATGATTAAGGCAGAATTATTGTAATGCTGTAAAGAATTAGACTCCTTCTCCCCGGGGGTAAATATAAGACCAGATTATCTATTTTAACCTTTGGGGAACTTAAAGTGTAGATGAATGAAAGAAACAAACAAACAAAATGACTCAGGAATTGGCTCAGATTATCTAATAATAATAATATTAATAATGATAATGGTAATATTTAGTGAATTAATGAGGGTAGTCGTAATAGCTAGTCAGGCAGCCATACTTTGGAGTTCATTTTCCACAATACACTGAAATGTTATACGTCTGACACCATGATCGCCACCGCCTCGATAACAGAAGATAAGCTCCAACTCACACACACACAAACGACTCATCACTAAACAAACACACCCAAACACGTCCAAACAACACACAATTGATATATATTCTATGAAACAAAACTCGTACAGTGACTTAGGAATTAATACAGGCGGTCTGAAGGTAATATACATATATTTTTTTTTTACTTCATGGTATTTGTAAATATTAAGTGAGGGAGGTTAGAGAACTGTGGTGTGTGGTGGTGGTATCTTTGACTAGAGTCTGAGTGAGTGAGTGTCCAGCAGCAGTGTGTGTGTGAGGTTTGACCAGTCACGTTGGTGGTGGTAGCCGAGAAGCACACATACATACATACACACACACACACACACACACACACACAGACAGACAGTTCTACCTCGCCTTCACCTCGCCCTGCTTGCTTGCTTGCTTGCTTGCTTGTCCCCGGTGAAATATTCATTGGGGAAATAATCCATCAGGTCGGTTCAAAAACTAGTCAACTACCTACGTCTCACTGATCTTGATTGTCGAGTTCCGTAGTTTGCTATCGATCCGTCGTTGGCCACGGTATCTGGCTTCTATCGCTTATTTTAGAGCATGTCGACGAACACCCCCCCCCCTATCCTCCCTCACCGTCCACCCTCCCTTACCCTACCACACACACACTCTCCCACCCCCTCTCCCTTCCTCCTATCCTCCCTCCTCCCACTCCGGTCTGTCTCCTCCCTACCCTCCCACTCATACCCCACCTTCCTACCCCTGTCTCTCTCCGCTTACCCTCCCCCACTCTCTCTCTCTCCTCCCTCCTCCTAGTCCTCCTCCTCCTACCCCCGTCCTCCTCCTCCTACCCCCGTCCTCCTCCTCCTACCCCCCTCCTCCTCCCTCCTCCTCCCCACCCCCTCCCTCCCTCCTGTTCTCCTCCCACTCCCCTCCTCCCTCCCCCTCCTCCTCCCACCCTCCTCCTCCCTCCTCCCTCCTCCACCCCCCTCCTCCTCCCTACCCCCTCCTCCTCCTCCCCCCCTACCTCCTCCTACCCCCTCCTCCCTTTACCACGTTCTTCTGGGATATACCGCTGGCCGTTCTGGGGAGACCAAGTATATGCTCACCGCTTGTTTGGGATATGCTTAGATATACTTTCTTCCTTTCGTACCGGAGCATACTTGTAGCATATTCGGAGCATACTCGTTCATTCGCGTCAGGACATATTTATTTAGTGGCTTATTGCAGTACTAGAAAAGGAGAAAGGGTTAATAGGGGGGTGGATTGATTCGAGTGTGTTTGATTCTGTATTTTTTCAGTTGTGGATTGGTTTAATATTGGTTTTATGGGGTGATTGGTTTATGTTCGAATCTGTTTATGTTGTGGATTGGTTTAATATTGGCCTTGTGGGGGATTGGTTTGACATTGTTTTGTGAGGAGATTGGTTTATGTTGAAATCTGCTTTATTTTTCAGTTGTGGGATTAGTTTAGTATTGGTGATTAGTTTGGTTTAGGTTTGAATTCCTTGCTTGTGTTCTTGTGGTTGATAATCCGTTTTTGTGTTGATTATGGTAGCTTCCAATCCTAATATTTT